CAGGACGATGATGGGTATTATGAGGATATGATTTGTGGGGTTGAAATGGTTTATACAGAAGAGATTGAGGAGGAAGAAAAGGGCTAAAAGGAATGAAGGAGACGGGAAGGAATGGAGGTGCTCGAGACAGGAGCGGTTATGTCCATTCTGTGTTAAACCCAGTTGAAAATCTCACTCAACAAAAGCAAAAGGAAAAGCTCCACGGCCATTGGAGCCACAAAAGGAGAATTTCAGCTTGGATGAAGAAACTCAGATCCCATATAAAGAATCTTCATTTATCATCAACCCAAGATCTGATCATCATCAACCCAAGAAAATCATCATTACAAGAAGTGGCTGTTGATGCCAGTCTTTCCACCTGGTTATCTTCGTTCATCAGAAACCGCACCTACGAGCAAGAGCAGCTCAGTTAACTTTAAACCCTCTACGCCTGGATCAAATTCAATAAGAAGCCAAGAAGATAGGCCGATCTTAGGTGCTCTTACACTAGAGGAAATCAGACAGTTCTCTGCGTCCTCTGTTCGACCAAAGAGGTCACCAAGTAAAAGCCCAGATGAAACACCTATAATAGGGACTGTTGACACTTACTGGAACCACACTGGATCTTCCACCATGGATCCTGCTTCTGATTCTGCTGCTTCTTTGAAAGGAATACCAAACGCTACCAGCAAGTACAGAGAGGTAGAATCATTTTCTGGATAAAATTCTTTGGTGCTTATTTATGGTGGGTTTGTCATAACAATTTGTGGGTGTATGTATATATATGTACAGGATAGAGGAGTGAATTGGCATTCAACCCCATTTGAGACGAGAGTGTAGAGAGATCTGGAAAGTGGTGCTGCTGCGGCTTCATCATTGGTGTGTTGAAATTGAAAAGATTAATGAAGGAATTTCTTGTTGGTGTTTAATTATTTTTGTGTTTGGTTTTGGGAATTTCTGTGTGAATTTTTTTTGTCATTGTTGTAATTCTTTTACTGATTTGGTAAATTGTTAATGCAATACGAGTTGCAAATTACTCTTGATTTGTGATGTGAAATTCTTTGTTCCTGTTTGATTCAGAAACAAAATATAAGCCTTGCATTTTTTTTCAAAAAAATTTATTTAAAAAATTACCGTGAAAACAGTTTAGTGTATAATTTAAACTTCTGTATAAATTTAATAGAGCTAAATTAATAAATATGACAACTAACAAAATCCTAAAAATTGAAACTTGTAGGTTCAAATTATTGAGATATTTGCTGATTATTCATAAATATAATATAAATTTAATAATTAAGAGATCAATTCAAAAAATTTGGATATTAATTTAAAATTTTAGCTTAAATATTAAAGATGTTATTTTGCTAAAACGGTTGCGTTTTTGGGACAAACAACAACCAAAGAATTTACCAAAATTTCGAGCCGCCATAAATTGGGCGGGAAGTAAATGAGAGATTGGGGAAGTAACACAAGACTCATTTTAATCGCACAGCTTCTGATCTCTTCATCTCCTTCAAGTAGGTTCGGTTTCAGATCATTATATGTTTTTTCTCTTTACATGATTTCTTTGGTTGCTTTATATTTGTTTTCTTAAACTTTTATTTGGATGATAGTTCAATAATTATAGTATGATTTTTTTATGATTTTTTTTTTTTTCTGTTTGTTTGCATTTCTAAATACATAATATAGTTTTTTTAGTGGTTGAGTCATAATTCTTAAAACCATAATTTTTTCTATTTTTTCAAACCACCGATTTGTGGTTTTTTGGTGGTTTGAGAATTTTTTTTTTCTTTATATCCTTAATGTTTTTTATTATTTACAACATTATTATTCTCTCTCTTTAATTTCTTCTACTCGGTACTTCTTATATTCTTCTTTTTCTTTTCAAAATATTGTATATATATATATATATATATTTTTATAAAGATCCATAACCTTAAATGAAATGAATTTATATTTTGAATGCGGAAGCGAATAATAATGTTAGGGAACATTCATTACACAATAAATTGAAATGATCAATAAGACCACAAAAGTGTCTATTCTACGTGGTTCATAAAAAAACGAACGATAGTTAAAGAAAAACGAATAAAAAAGTATCTTAGGGGTAACACTCACTAACACTTGAAGGGAGTCCAGGAGGTGAACTACTCATAATCTTCTTTCTGATCGGGATCAGGATCTTGATCTTCTTGATTTAAAATTATTAATGAAAGGGTGAGCTAGACTAGCCCAGTAAAAATATTAAACTAATCACTTATATGGAAAATCAAAAGTTGGTAAAAATAAGAAAAAAACTAATAGAACGCTTGCTTTAAGTAAATACATTTAACTTTCAAACTTTTTATTCGATACTGACAATTACATTTTTTTTCCTAAAATCAACCTATGAAGACAATTAACCAAATGATATTTCAATTTCATGCGTAGGATCAACAATCTTTTCTTTTTAACCTACTTACTGGGTCCCCTGAGGGTTCATAGGGGTATCTCTCTACCTGTGGACTCAGTATCAAGATTTGACAATTAACTCGGCTGTCTTCATATCCCGTCCGGTAATGTGCGCCAAAACAAAATCACTTTGATACTCCGTTCGGTATGAGGGTGAACCATATCTCCCAAAACCCTTTTGGTATGAGATTTCTCTACTTCGTCCGACTGAGATAATGTCCACGGTAGGGTTTCTTATGTACCTGATCTGTCCACCTTTTTCCAGGATGCCTAATAAGTTTTCATTTATTTAAATTCTCATCATCCAAACAATTATTAAAGCATACTAACATTTCATTTCATATTCACTGATAAATTTAAACGGTATTTAAGAAAGCGATATAGTTTATCATAACCAATAACCGAGTAATCAGATAACCAAATAAAAAATAAAGGAGGAACCAAATAAACCAGATAATCGAGAAGACCATAGAAACTATCAGTTTAAACGTGCACAATATAATAGTAAGCAAGTTAAACAGTACAGAAAAATAAATAGAAAATCCAAACAAATGTGAACTAACCAGTTTCGACTCCACTAGTGACCTGTAATATTTTTAAGATTTTTCTAAATTTTAACAAAACACACAATTATTGATTATTAATCATCAATTTACCATAACCGAGAATAGGGTGAGGGATCATTACCCGGATCAGTATTTTAAAATATCGTGCTTATCTACTACTCCTCCTAACGGATCCAGAGTTTTCTGAATTTTTTCTGCGGGAATCCAAAATACTTGTCACGTACCTAAAAATATCCTAAAAATTCAAAATCGGTATTGAAAACCCTTTTTGGCCAATTTTAGGGTTCCAGCACGACAGTGCTATCGTGCTCTGGGGTCGGCTTCGCTGTCCACGGTGGTGGTTTACCTCGGCCTGGTCGATTTTGACTAGTTTTATACATATCCTTGTAGAAAATACATTAGGGGACCTCGGTTGGCTAGAAAATTACAAGAAATCGAACCTACTGGTGGGGGGGGGGGTCCTTGGGTACAGCGGCTCTGCCAGTTCTCTTTCGCGGCTGAGGTTTTTTCTTCAGCTAACATGTACAGAAAAAAACGGTAAACACAATGGTCAAAAAATTGTGTGAAATAGAAAATAAGAAGGGGCTCATCGGAGGGGTTTTAGGGTTTCAGTTGCGGCAGCTCCACCAGGCTTTACTTGTAGTTTTTGGCTCACTCGCTGTCCTTTTTACTCCGATATAGCCATAAGGAGACTTGGAATCGAATTCTGTGTGGGAAAGTGAAACTTTTACCTTTTTGAGAGGTCGGCATTAGTTCCGGTGCAGCGGCGACCGAGGGTTGGTCTCCTTTTCCGGTGGCTGGTCCTTTTTCTTCGGCGAGGGCAGGTGCGGCTTGGATTAGGGTTTTCCTGCGACATGATGTTTAAATACCTATCCCACATCGATTTGGACCATCTATTCGCGTTCGATATAGAGCGAGGAGCGATGTCTGATTGTTGCCTGTTTAGGTCGATTATGTGGGCGAATTTGGATTGTTCATCGCAATTGATCTTGTCCGTCCGATCGCACCTAAAGAGTGAATGCATCTGAGTCGTTCACATGTGCAAGATTAAATTTAGGCTGTCAGATCACTGGGCACGCAGATCGCCCGTGTGGCGCCGATGTCAGCATATTTTGCCATGCGGTGTGCTCTGGTTCATCGTGTCTGCTGACTGGACTGTCTTGCATGGCTGAATTTTCTCTTTTTGCTTTTTAACCATATGTTTCTATTTATTTTTCAAAAATATAATATGAACTCAAAATTTCACATATCTTCTCCAAAATTACTTTTAATTTCGTCATTAACTTATTTTTATCAAAAAATTTAATAAAATTAAATTAAGATAATATTTTTAATTATTTATATATAC